GGAACTCTTCAAAAATACATTGTTAAATGAATGAAAATGCAAGTCACAAACAGAGAGAAATTATTTGCAGATAAACATATCTGATAAAGAGTTTGTAGGCAGCATCTAAAAGGAACTCTAAACTTGATAATGAGAAAAAGATTCTAATATAAGTGAGTAAAAGATTTGAACAGACACGTCACCAAAAAATGGGTGAGTAGGTGAAAATATACAGATAACACATAAGGACATGAAAAAATGCTCATCATCAGTAGTCATCAGGGGAAAACAAATTAAAAATCACAATGAGATACCACCACGAGCCATTAGAATGGCTAAAATTAAAGAGTGACCATACCAAGTGTTGGATACAATATGGAGCAACTAGAACTCTCACACACTGCTGGTAGAAATGTAAATGATACAAACCCTGTGAAATAGCATGGCAGTTTTGGTTTTTTTTAAGTCAAGCATTTCACATACCATATAATCCATCGATTTCACTTCTGGGTATTTACCCAAGAAAAATGAAAGCATATAAGCATATATCCACAGAAAGACCTAATGCTAATGTTCATGGCAACTTTACTCATAACTAAAAGCAACCCAAATATTCATTAACAAATTAATAGATAAACACATTTGACAGATCCATGTAATGGAATACTATTCAACAGTAAAAAGAGATGAACTATTGATACAATCAATGAAAGGAATAAATCTCAAAGTGATTGTAATAATTATCCCAACTGGAAGAAGCCAGACAAAAGAGTACATACTGTATGATTCTATTTATAAAAAAAAATTCTAGAAAAGGCAAACTAATCTGTAGTGATAGAAAGTAGCTCAGTGGTTGCCTGCGAATGTCAGGAAGCGGGAGAGATTGATTGAAAGGGAAACTTGGGCTGGGAGGTGGGGGTAATAGATATTCATTACCTTGATTATGGTGATGGTTTCACAAGTGTGTGTGTGTGTGTGTGTGTGTGTACATATATATATCAAAACATCAAACTGTACAGTTTAATGTGTGCAGTTTATTGCATGTCATTATACATAACTGCTTCCCTGGTGGCTCAGCAGTAAAGAATAAACCTGCAGTGCAGGAGACCCGGGTTCAAACCCTGGGTCAGGAAAATCCCCTGGAGAAGGAAACGGCAACCCACTCCAGTGTTCTTGCCTGGAGAACCCAGAGGAGCCTGGTGAGCTACAGTCCATGGGGTCTCAAAGAGTAGGACATGACAGTGTGACTAAACAACAAAATACAGAACTAAATTGACAATAAAATGACTTTTCTTTTTTAAATTTTTTTTTACTAATTTTATTTAGTTTGTTATGGCTGTGCTGGATCTTGGCTGCTGCGCGGGCTTTTCTGTAGTTGCAGCAAGTGGGGGCTACTCTCTAGTTGCAGTGACTTCTCTCATTGCAGAGCACAGATTCCGGAGCCTACAGGCTTCAGTAGTTGCGGCTCCAGGGCTCTAGAGCGCAGGCTCTAGAGTTGTGGTGCACAGGCTTAGTTGCTCCTTGACATTTGGGATCTTCCCAAATCAGGGGTTGAGTCTGTGTCTCCGGCATTGGCAGGCAGATTCTTTACCACTGAGCCACCAGGGAAGCCCTATATAAAGCTATTTTTTAAAAGGAAGAAAAAACCCTGAGGTTGTTGTTTCTTTCTTTAAACACTGTGCAATTAGAAGCAGTCAGTTCACCACCCACCCCCCAGGTTTTATATTCCTTATTCTCACTGCAGTGCTTTATCTCCCAACAGCCCTGTCCCCCAAAGCCTTATTTTCCTCCAAAGTGACCACAGGTCACTGCACCGCCTCTGTGTGATATGGACCACCTGAATACTGCCTTCTCATGTTAATAGGATCATTGTTGCCTTTGAATCCAACTGGGTCAGATATCTGACTTCAGATTCTCACTTCCTCCAAAGTCTATTGCTTGCCACCACCCTGGTATCAATCACTCTATTGATGAGGGTTAATTACGGAGAACAGAATTTACTCTAACTGATTGAAGCAGAGGGCTTCCCAGGTGGCACAGTGGTAAAGAATCCACCTGCCAATGTAGGAGACGCAAGAGACATGGGTTCAATCCCTGGGTCAGGAAGATCTTCTGGAGAAGGAAATGGCAACCCACTCTAGTATTCTTGCCTGGGTAATCCCATGGACAGAGGAGCCTGGCAGGCTACAGAGCATGAGGTCACAATTGAACACGACTGGGCAATTGAGCATGTGCGCGCGCACACACACACACACACACACCCCACAACTGAAGCAGGAAAGGAATGTATTAAAAGATGGTGGGGGCGAGTACAAGGGGGAAGTTCTCAGCCATTTCTGCATATGGGAATTACCTCAGTATGTGGGGGATGACTTGATTGTAGAATAATCCAATCTACATTATGAAAGTGCCTTTTAGATGGTGTCCCCCCGACCCCCACCCCACTAATCCTTCTTCTGGTGAAATTTCTAGGAAAGCTCCCCTTAGAACTGAGGATAAGTGGCTTATTCCAGGGATAATTTTCTGGGGTAGGGTAAGGACAAGGTGAACCTGGAATGCCCTCTTCAGCTAGAAAGCAAAGATGCCCTCAGATTAATGAGGACATGTCAGAAGAACATAGGACACTGTACATCCATAAGAATGGTCCATTATACAGAGTGAAGTGAGCCAGAAAGATAAACACCAATACAGTATACTAACGCATATATATGGAATTTAGAAAGATGGTAATGATAACCCTATATGCAAGACAGAAAAAGAGACACAGATGTATAGAACAGACTTCTGGACTCTATGGGAGAAGGCGAGGGTGGAATGATCTGAGAGAACAGCATCGAAACATGTATATTATCAAGTGTGAAACAGATCGCCAGTCCAGGTTGGATGTATCAGACAAGTGCTCAGGGCTGGTGCACTGGGAAGACCCAGAGGGATGGGATGGAGAGGGAGGCGGGAGGAGGGATCAGGATGGGGAACACATGTAAATCCATGGCTGATTCATGTCAATGTATGGCAAAAACCACTACAATATTGTAAAGTAATTAGCCTCCAACTAATAAAAATAAATGAAAATGATAATAAAAATAAATACAAAAAAAAAAAAAGAATGGCTAAAACAAAACAACAAAAACTTGATAAGTTCCCAAAAAGTGATTCTGCCTCCCCAGGATGGCTCTGAGATCCAGCCATCTGCTGTGCGGATAGCACCTGGATATAGACTGAAGATACAGCATCAGCCTCCCTGGAAATCTTTGAGGAAATCAAGGAATGTGTCCTGGTAGAAATCACGAGCCCTGGGTTCTGCTACTAACCTGCCTTGTACCTGTCCCTTTCCTCTTCTGAGCCTCTGTGTCCTGTGTGTTTAATAAGGGAAGAGGGGACCCTAAGTGTTTTTACATTGAGTTTCCTGGAGCCCTAGGACCCCTTGGATTGCCCTGAGACGCTGCAAGGAAAGCCAGGGTTGGGGGTGAGCTCCACCTAGAACAGTTCTGCTTTTGTCTGTTTCAAGTTTGGCAGATATAACTCTTGGTTGACAAACTCAGGAGGTTCTGAAAACATCAATTCCTCTAGTTTTGAAATTTCTAAATTAATTTCTGACTCACATGACCCATTCTCAGAAGCTGGATGAAATATTCACTCCAAATATTCTTGGAGTTCTTCTCTCTGATCGTGCCTCACTTCTGGGATACACATGTCCACTAACAAGCCACGTCTCTCCAGTTGTCTCTGTGGGTCCAGCTGTGTCTGCTGGGGCATGGGCACCTTTTGGAAGCTGACCATGGTCCCCTCTGCCTTTCTTTTCCTCATCTCTCTCTAGCCCACCCTCCACCCTGGGAAAACTCTTCCTAACCTGGGGGGAATTCCCTTTTGTGTTTAAGACATTCACTCAGTCAATGTCAGTGAATCCCCATCATGGGTAGAATGGTGTCTCCCTAAAAAAAGTTATGTTGGAGTCCTAGCCTCCAATAACTCAGGATGTGACCAAATCTGGAGAAAGGGCCTTTAAAGAGGTGATAAAGTTATAATGAGTCTATTACGGTGGGCACTAAGATAGCAAGGAGATCAAACCAGTCAGTCCTAAAGGAAATCAACACTGAGTACTCATTCGAAAGACTAATGCTGAAGCTGAAGCTCCAATACTTCGGCCACCTGATGTGAAGAGCTGACTCATTGGAAAAGACCCTGATGCTGGGAAAGATTGAAGGCAGAAGGAGAAAGGGGTGACAGAGGATGAGATGGTTGGATGGCATCACTGATTCAATGGACATAAACTTGGACAAACTACAGGAGATGGTGAGGGACAGGGAAGCCTGGTGTGCTAGAGTCCATGAAGTCGCAAAGAGTAGGACACAAATTGGCAATTGAACAACAGTACAAAGAGTGGGCCCTAATCCAATATGACTGGTGTCCTTATAAGAAGAGGAAACCTGGACACATAAAGGCATAGAGTGAAGACAATGTGAAGAGGCAGAGAGAAGACAGCCACCTACAAGTCAAAAAGAGGCTTGGAATGTAGAGTTCCCTCACAACCCTCAGAGCAAACCAATGCTGCTGACACCTTGGTCTCAGACTTTCAGCCTCCAGAATGGTGACGATACATTTCTGTTGTTTAAGCCACTCAGTATGTTGTGGTATTTTGTTTGCAGCCCTAGCAAATGAATGCAGATTCCCTATCCCTCTTTTACCTCGCTTGCAAACACTCTAAGTTCTCCTGGGCACTGTTAGTTCTCCTAATATCTGCTTGAATGGGTGAAAGGGATAGGAAAAAAACAGAAGTAAATATTTCATAATTTCACTCAGCTATACATACACAAGTGAGCAGAGAACCGGAGGCTAAACTGCTTAAAAATCACTGGACTGATGAGCTGATGATTATTGTCACTAGGTGATGGGTCCACGGGGGTTCATTGTACTATACTTTCTACTTCAGTGTATATTTGAAAATTTCCATTGTAAACCATTAAAGAGGAGAAAGGAGAGAATGAGAAAGAAAGCATCATTCTGTACCACCGGGCCAAAAGATGACACAAGGTACTTCCATCTCTAGAGCTCCTCACAGTAGCATCTGCCCCTCTCCTTGTCCCTACCAGCCAGACTCTGCTGACAGCATCAAGAATTACCCTTCTCCCCATCCCCAGCTGAGGCCACTGTCTCCAGAGCCCATGCCTGGAGACTCCCTTCCCCAGCCAGGCTTCAGCACTGAGGCTTTTGCAGCCATGAAGCAACTGCACCTGAGCAGAGCAGGGACAGCAGATGGAATCCCAGATCCATCTCCTGGATCCCAGATACCCAGAACACTTCATCATTACCTGGGCTGCCTGGCCAGTCTTCCTGGATGGCTCCTCGCTCTAGCTCCTCTCTCTCCCTTCAGGAGTTGTTTCCCCTGCATCCTGTTATTACCACTTCTTGTACCAAATAACTCCCCCAATATTACTAATGATCACTCAGATTATATCCTGAGACACATCTACGGTGCCTCATGCCCAGCTCCCCATCACCAAAAGCTCTCCCTGACCCTTGACTCTGGGGCAGGGTGAAAGAACCCATGGAAACAATATTATTTGTGGCATTTCAAATGAGTTTGGGTCACATTATCCCTGGTACCATGGTTAAGTAATCAAATGGCAGCCCAACGGTTCTTGGCTTTCTTGTGCCCCATTGCAAGGGCCACTGTTTATGTTTTCTTTTAATTCCTCTTATAAATTCACTTCTTCCTTTAGAGGCGGTGAGGGCAGAAATTTCCACTGGCAAAATAAGAAAAGGAAAATGAGCTTTTTATGGAATTGATTCAATGAAACTTAAGAGAACTGTCCTTTTATTTTAGGATTATGTTCTTCCCATTTTCTGGTCTTAAAATAGCTTTTCTTCCATGAAGTGCTAGTATCAGTGTACCGCAATCTATCAGTTGGAGTTTAATTGCAGGTATAGCAGTCTCTCTAGCTATTTTAAGCAGAAAATAATGTAAGGATTTAGAACTTAACAAAATCATTGAAAGGACTGGTGAGCAGAGGTAGATTGGGCTTCTGGGAGTACCTCCCAGAAGAATTGACCTGCCAGGAGCTCTGCCATCTCTGTCATGATGGGCAATCTGGGGAGTTGGGAAGCCCCTGGCCCCATCTGCCAGCTCCAGGACCATTCCACCCCCAGCAGTGATCCCTATGATCCACATCAGCAAGAGTGATGCCACATGTTTGCCCTTTGACACACCCCAAACTAGAGCTTGGGCCTGGAATCTCTGCTACCGCCAGCCCAGGAGAACCAAACTTCTTTGTCCCCCGCTAGTCCAGAAAAGCAGCGGTAGTGCAAAAGCACATTCTTGACCCCTCTCTGCCTTCTCAGTCTCATGCCAGTGCACCTGCCTGGCAGAGGCAGGTCATGGGCACACCTGAAACTGTAAGGCCTGCTGCCCGAGGCATGGAGTGCTTGATCCAGTCTGCAGTTCTGTGGCTCGATGCCCACATTTTACTTAGGTGTGAAACCCAAAATTTCCGATGGGCAGGGGGTGAGATCAGTCCCCTAGAGCAAGCTCCGTCAAGGATAGAAATTGAACTGCTCAGATTCATACCTAGTATCCAATAAGCACAGGGAGGGGGGGGCTCCTCCTCATTAGTCGCCAAGAGGATATTAATTAAAGCCATGATTAAAATCACCACTACACCCCACTGAAATGACCGAAAAGAAGAGTGACAGCACCAAGTAAGTGCAAGGATGTAGAGCGAGGCATGCTCCTGTTCGCTACGGGTGCGAGCCTACATTGATACGAACATTTGGAAAATCGTGTGACGGTACCTACTAAAGCTCTAAGAATAGATGACCTCTGACCCACTAATCACCCTGAAACCCATCAAATAAAAACAGGCATGAGAATGTTCATGACATCAATTTTTAAGAGCCCCAAACTGAAGACAGTCCAAATGTCCATCAACAGGAGAATTAATAAATAAGCTGGGGTACATTCAGGTGTTAAAACACTAGAGAGCAATGAGAACTGGCAAACCACAATCACGTGCAGCTGCACTGGTAGATATTAAGCCAAAAAAGACACAAATGAGGTTACACCAGATGTCTTCATATAAGCAAAATATAGAAGCATGGTCTTGGGAATTAGCATAGTGGGTCTCCTTGCAAGTAGATAGGGACTGGTATAAGGAACACGAAGTGGGTTTCTGGGGTGTTGGTTGTGTTTTGTTTCTTGACTGAGATACTGGTTACATGTATGTGGTTACATGTTGGGAATTTTGGTCTTGCTGTACACTTATGATCCATACACCTTTTAATGTGTATATATACATCAATTAAACATGCAAAATGAAACACACAACTTAGCTTTCAGTCTTTCTCTAAGCACCCTCCTTCTTCCCACCACCCCCCGCCCCCGCAGATAATAATGATGGTTCCACTTACGGAACACCTCCCATGAGCCACGCACCACACCTCATACTGTTGATTCTCACAATCTCTGGGCCAAGTGCAAGGTTATTTCATGGATGAGGCTCCAGAAATGAAGAGAAATTACACAGCCTGTCCAGAGCCATCCAGTGGACAAGTGGCTGAGCCATGAGTCAAACCCATGACTCTGTGGCTTGTGTCTTTCCCGTTCAGAAGCCCAGTGCTTCTCTGCTGTGCTTGGTCTCTTTTCCTGGTCTGCAGCCTGCTTGTGTATATGGTCCTTTGCCAAGGATTTGGCTCTCTCCCTGTCCCCTCCCTTCTGCCCCTTTCCCGGAGCTCCAGGTCTGAAATGCCAGCAGCTGCCACCATCGCCAAGCACTTAGAGGGCAACATGTTGTTCCTTGATGACAAACCTCAGGGAGCCATCAACAGTTACTGTCACCATACACGGGTGGTCTAACATTCCAAAACTTGTCCTTGCCCATGGGCCAGCTGGTCCCAGGAGCGGTCTGGGCAGTGTTTGGGGGCTCTGCCACATCAGGGCCTACAGGAGCAGGGCTGGCAGATTTGCAATCGTGACTAGCCCCCATGGTCTTTGCTTTGCTTGACCATCTTTTGGTAGAGTAGGCTGAGGTCCAGCAGTAGCCAGAGGCCCTGGTGCCATGGCTGGGTCTTGGAGGAAGTTCCTGTTGTCCTGGAGAGGCCTCTCCCACAGGCCTTGGTAGTGGTGCCAAGAGTGTGCACCTTCTAAGCCCACCTGCACCGGCGCTGTCAGTGTCTGGCACTCTGCAGTGAAAGGACATGCCAGGTGCTGAGCTAGGCAGGCACTGAAGGGTCAGATGTGACCGAGAAAGATGCAGTGTCCCTGCCCGCAAGTAGCTAACAGCCTTGGTGGTGAAAGCACCCAACACTTGTGGAGCACTCCCTGTTTGCTGGCACAGTTCTGATCTGCCTATAAAGCTGTTATCTCATTGAGGCCTTAAAAGAACTCTTTGAAACAGGTACTCTGATTCCCATTTTATAGATAAGTCTTGTCTGACATTTTTGCAGCCCCATGTTCTGTATCCTGCTGGTCTTCTCTGTCCATGAGATTTCCTGGTCAAGAATACTGGAGTGTGTTACCATTTCCTTCTCCAGGGCATCTTCTCAACCCAGGGATCAAGCCCAAGTCTCCTGCATTGACAGTTGGGCTTTATACCACTGAGCCACCAGGGAAGCCCATGGCAGGCCCTCTAAGCTGACCCAATCTTCCTCTCCTCCTCACATTTACCATCCTTATGTAATCTCCCAAAATCTGAGCATGGACTGGATTTACTGCCTCACTTCTAATGACTAGAATAGGGTAAAAGTAACGAAAGTTGCTTCTGATCCTGAGTCTTACAAAAGACTGTGGTTTCCATTCTGGGTGCTCTCTCGCTTTCTGGGATCGCTCTCCCTGGGGGAAGCCAGCTGTCTGGGGGTGAGGCAGTCCTGTGGAGAGGCTCCAGTGAGTGAACTTAGTCATAGGTCCTGCCGCGGGTGAGCCTGGAGATGCCTGCAGCCTCGGATGTTGTCTTGATAGCAACATCATGAGAGACCCCATCCAGAACCACGCAGGAAGCTGCTTGCACATCCCTGACCCACAGAACTGTGAGATAGTAAATGTTTGTGGTTTTAAGCAGCCAAACACTGGGGCACTCAATTATGTAGCCATGGATGGCTAATCCACCTGCCCACACTCATGCAGACAGAGCTGGAATTGGGACCCAGGTGTGTCTGACTGCAAAGTCCCTGCTCTTAACCACTCCCAGTACTGTTTTCCCCAGTCTTAGAGGGAACACGTTAATGCCTGAAGTGAGCTGAGACTACCTAGAACCGGTGATGAGCCTGAGAGCTGAGGAACTAACCTCAGGCGAGATTCTTAACCATTGTGCCTCAGTTATTTCACATACAAACTGGGGATGATAATAATACTCAATTTCATAGGGTTGTCCTGAGGATTAAATAAGTTTATACATGTGAAGCTCTTAGAACATAGTGAACATTCAAAAAGAGTTAACTACTATTAGTATTAGAAGAAATAATGTATGCAAATATTAAATGAAATAAGATTTGGCTCAGCTCAGGCTCCTCTGAAAAATTGGTGTTCTCATCTGCAAAATGAAGATAACACCATTATCATTTCTTGTGATCAGCATTAGATGAACTAGCACAGTGCCTGGAACATACTAGAAGCTTAATAAATGGCACCTAAAGGTGATTAGAGATTTCCTGGTGGTTCAGTGGTCAAGAATCCATGTGCCAATGCAGATGTAAGCAACACAGGTTCAATCCCTGCGTCACGAAGATTCCTTAGAAGAAGAATGATCCCTACTCCAGTATTCTTGCCTGGGAAATCCCATGGACAGAGGTGCCTGGTGGGCCAGAGTCTATGCAAAGATTTGGATATGACTGAGCATGCACACACCCAAAGTAAGATTATATTGACTAACAAACTATGATTATACTGACTAACATTCTAAGGGTGGCACATAGAGGATGGGTGAACTGTGGGTACTGTTATAGCCCAGGTCTTATTGACCCCATTCTTCTGAGACACCTCACACTCCCCAGCACTGGGGGCTGGGAGCTGGCTGAGGTGGAAGGCAAGGTGAGGGTGGGAGTCACAGAGCCTGTAGTTCATGGGAAATCCATGCAGGGGCCTAGATCTTCCTCTTGGCCTTGGGAATGAACTCCCTTACAGCACTGAGCCAGCAGCTAATAGGTCCCTTAATGCTCCAATTATGGGATTATGTTAACAGTCCCAAGAAGGAATTTGGTTCCATGAAAATCCTCAAGCCCCTGGGGCTGAAAGGCTTAATGAGTCCCAGCAACAAGGCCGCCACCATTTCTGATTCCAGTTGGATCTCTGTTGAGATAGCATGGTTTGTGCTCAAAACACACTCCAAAAGAAATAAATAAGTAAATAATACAAAAAAGATGGGCCTTACTCTGCAGCCCTATGTGGAAATGTTTGAGAAAACGATGACCATCTTTGTTCAAAGATTTGGAGATTTGGGAAACATTTTTGCATAACTTTGCCAATTTCTTGGCAAAAAAGAAACCATAAAGGAGAAAACACAAAACACATAGTTCCCCAAATGATACCAAACACACTTTCTAAAAACCA